TAATGTATTATTGCTGGGATTTGTAGTTCCTCTATAACTGGTCAGTGGTAATCTGCATTGTGCAGTATAATCATTATACAGCGCAATGGAGAATACCACCAGCTATGGAGGACTACAAATGCCATCAATAGTACATTATAGTATAATGTTGCACTGTTGCTGGCATTTGTTGTATTCCTATATAGCTGCTGGTATTCTGCATTTCGCCGTATAATCATTATACAGCGCACTGCAGAATGCCACCAGCTATAGAGGACTACAAATCCCAGCAATAATACATTATATACAGTTCAATGCAGAATAACCCCAGCTACAGAGGACTACAAATCCCAGCAATAGTACATTATAGTATAATGTACTATTGCTACATTCCTCTATAGCTGCTGGTATTCTGCACTGCGCCGCTGTATAATGTACTATATTGCACACCACACTTTTTTTACTTCCACCGCGCCAAGCTTGCTCCCGTGATGGACTACAATCTCAATAGAAACTAGTAGTCCATCACTGAACCCCCTTTTTTTTTTATCCAATTAGTCGATTAATCGAACTTAATAATCGGCTAACTAATCGATTATGAAAATAATCGTTAGCTGCAGCCCTACAAATGACCATAGATTTATTAAGAAATCTCTTCCAAAAGGCTAAAGAAACTTTTTCTAAACATTTTTTTTCTACTGCAAAATGACTTTAAACATGAATGCAGACAAACAGCCAAAAATGGCACTAGTGTACAGCCAGTTTTCAAATTGTGGTACTGTTTACATGATTTTACTAAATACACAATTTAACTGGAGGGAGGTCTTTTATAACTGCCTGCGCTTACTTGACACTAGCTGCCAGACTAGGATGTCACAAACAGCTCCAGTACCCACAAATGATCAGAGATCAATCAGCATGGTTCACCGATAAAGTGATCATAAAGTCAGGTCATTGTAATCACATGGCTTTGATTGTACCTTAATAAAATGTATCCGTGTACTTCCTGTGTATAGAAAAACAAGTCACGGAGTTGTCAAGAAAACCAAGACATACTGGCACTGCTACATTTGGTCTTGACGTCGACAAATGACTTGTAGTTGCAAAACTCTTTCTGTATCACTGGCAGCCTAATATGTGGCTGTGGATGGTTATGGAGCTAGTAGAAGGGCCTGTTCAATGTCACAAGCAATTAGATACAATTAAACAGACCAGAAGAGTCTGGACTATGTATTCAATGGTAAAATATGTATGCACTATAATAAACATGCAAAGGATGCAATCTTGTGTGGATATGTACTGCAACAGTACAAAATGTGCACATCCTTACAAGTAAAGCGATTATATACAATTTCCTAGTGTTACCTTACTTCCCGTTAATGAAAAATTTTATTTTCTACTACTCTTGCCTAAACAAGAATGAAGAGGACTACTCAGATGTTCTTCATTAGCATTACATACAAACATGAATCAAGCTCGATAAATATGGTTTTATTGCAAAATGTAATTATTATGCCACTAAAGCCAGTGAGGCACAATTGGCTCTCCGACATGAAAAAATGTGTTGCCTCACAAGAGCAATAAAGTTATAAAGAATCAATAAGTATTTCATTCAGTAAGAACTCAGCTATAAATCCCTACAATTGAAACAACCTTCACTGATGCTTCATTAAACCTACAGAAAAACCGAACATGACATTTTCCAGATCAGTTACCTTAATTCTGAAAGTTCAGGGAAAGTATCCGGAAGATCAGGCATCTTATATGTAAAGCCGTTAATGCCCACCTACACATAATATACAAGCAAAACAAATGTTTTAGTGGGGGCTTTTTAGCAATAAGGATCTCCATCTATAACAAATTTTATGGAAGGTGATGAGGCAGTCTGTGTACACAGTTATAATAACATCTGTGGTAGAAAAAGGCTAGCTCAGCAAGTCTGATCAGATTCTCACTGCCGGAGAAAACCTGGTGTCTGTTCCTCAGTGTGGAAGATCTTCAGAGGAACTTGGTGCTGGGGAATCCGTAATATCTTTTATGGAAGGTGATGAGGCACTTTGTGTCTACAGTTATAATAACATCTGTGGTAGAAACAGGCTAGCACAAAGAGGCTGATCAGATTCTCACTGCAGGAGAAAACCTGGTGTCTGCTCCCCAGTGTGGAAGTAGGAGATCTTCAGAGGAACTTTGTGCTGGAGAATCTGTAATAACGTTTATGGAATGTGATAAGGCAGTTTGTGTATACAGTTATAACATCTGCAGTAGGAAGAGGCCAGCTCAAGAAGGCTGATCATCTTTCCTCTGCTCTTGAAAACTTGGTGTCTGCTCCTCAGTGTGGAAGGAGGAGATCTTCAGAGGAACTTTGTGCCAGGAAATCTATAACTTTTTATACCTGCTCTACTCCTTTCCACTTTATCAAAAAAATAAATAATAATAATAAATAATATATAGATATATATATTAGCATATGAAAGGTTATTTCTCTCCTGCTACAAATTGCAACTACCTTACATAATAGGGCCACCTTATAAACATTACTGATCTGTATTGCCCATTATCTGAGGCGAGTCAGAGAAATCTAGAATTAGGTGCAACTTCCACAATATTCTAAAAGAAAACTCTGGGCCTCCAGCTCCCAATTTTAGTTAGTAATTCACAGCTCTATATATTTAGCTCAGACTATGTACTCACTTCAGAAGTGGGGACGGGTAGAGGCAAGTCAGTTATTAGGCCGTAGTAAGGGGCAGCAGCTTTGGCAAAGTTGTAGTTGGAAGAAACAGTCTCCGATGCGGGGACTGAACGATTGGTTTCTTGTGTGGGGAAAGATGGAAGAAAAGAAAAGCCGGAAGGAGGAGGGTAAGGAGGATGTCCCGTGGTACTGTTGTACAAGCTAAAAAGGAAAAAAAGAAAACAATGTCATAATTCACACTGGGGTTCATAGTCTTACACCACACACTCACTTCATACACGAGTTTCAAACAACTGTAAAGGGAAGTACAGAATGTTACTACCTGGTCTCCAGCGGTCTGAGGATCGCCAACGTCATCACATCTAATGCAGGTCCATTCACTTGCATTAGATGCGATGAAGCCAAGACACATTCCACAGCTGGAGCGGAGGGAGAGGGATGTGCACTGATGAAGACAAGTATATCTGCTTTATTTGACTCCCCTAGACGATACGACAACTTAACCCTTGCAGTAAGGGGGTAGCCCCACTGCAAAGGTAAACATTTTTTAATTCCTGTAGGTCTTCCTTAACCCCTTAACCTCCCTGGCGGTATGATTATTTCGCTTTTCGTTATTTTTTCGGCACAATTTTTTTCGTTATTTTATTTTGTTTCTTTCTTTCCGGGGTTTCTTTTTGGAATTTCCCGCCGGTTCCGCCCCCATGCGACGCGTCAGCTCGCAAGGGACGGAACCCGGAAGACAGATGCCGGCGCTGGCCGGAGGACTCGAGGGACAAGGTAAGTAAATACTGTGGGATATTCCCGAGTGTAGCTCAGGGTATGGAGAAGTAACCCCGAGCTACACTCGGGAATACCGCCAAGGAGGTTAAGGACCAAGGCCTTTTTTTCATTTACATGTTATAATCCACATTTTAGGCCTGAAAATTACTTAAAACCCCCAAACATTATATATTTTCTGAAAGCCATGACCCTATAGAATAAAATGGTGGCGGTTGCACATTTTTTATATTGCACAACATTAGCGTAACTTATTATCACGTGAAAAATGCACTTAAAGGAGAACTATGGGGTTAGGGCTTTTCCCCCATAGCTCTCCTAAGGGTAACGGGAGGACACAAACTAGCGTCCTACCATCACCCAAAGCTCAGTATACCACGAGCTAGAGCTCACGGTATACTGAGACGCCGCAGCCGGGACGGATCCCGACAATACTGTCTGGACCCACCCAGCTGCGGGATTAACAGCCGGCTCTGCCTATCTAGAGGCAGAGGCAGCTGTACCCGCCCCCTCCCGTTCCGCCAGTCAGCGCTGGAGGATCGGACGGGGGATCCCTGCAGGGAGTCGTAAGTGACAGTCACAGCTCTCTGCAGGGACAGGATCAAGAAGCAAGCGAGCGACAGTATGTGTTCGCTCACTTCCCGATCTATTGAGCCGACCTATGACAGTTTAGGTGCCGGCCCGGCTACCAGATCATAGAAGAGATCTGGCGGCAGCTGAGCCACCAGAATCGCTTCTACTGTAAAGCCGGTCACCAGCTCGACAAAGCGGAACAGACTCCCTGTGTGTTCTGTATAACACCGTCAGACTTTCCCGTCATAGGTCGTGAAGGGATTAAAAGGCTTTTCAGTGACTACAAAAGAAGTGCATCAAGTTTGACTTTTGCCATCTAGTCTATTGTTTGGGTCTGTTCCAAGTATACAAAAGTGAAAATGTGCAGTCACATTATCCTTATCCACCACAAATAGCATATCTATTAATATGGTTTTAAAAAGAACAAGTTTTATATCAGTGACACTTTTGCAGTTTTACCTTGATTGCCACCCATGAGAAGATTGCATGTGCTACTATTATGAATCAAAGGAGTAAAGGTGCCCATAAACCTGCCGATTATCGTATGATAATCGCGGGTGATCCCCCCGTGGCAGGTGTATGGAAGGCGTGCGACCGTTTCTACTGTACGATCGCACGTCTTTTGTCTCCCGACCAGGCTTGAAACCCCGCCAAGAATCGTACGATTGTCGGCGGGTTAGTGGCGTTCTCGGGAGACAAATGCCGCACAGGCCAGTGTGCGCAAGCACACACTGCCCGTGCGGCATTGGAATCATCGAGAAGCCCTCCCCTCAGCGGGACGGGCTTGCGATGATCGCAAGTACAATCTGCCTGTCCAAGATGGGCAGATCGTACAAGCTTATAATTACTTTACAACCATCGCAAGACGAAAGTCGTGCGATGGTTTTAAAGTGTATGGCCAGCTTTACTCTCTAGAACTCTGCTCTGAACATAAAGGAGTTGTAAAGTCCCGGCATATACTACCCAGTTATAACATCAGCATTGTAATAGGAATACATATGAGTTGTTTTTGATAATGCAATACAAGCTTACTGGAAAAAAAGTACATCACTTTCAACAACTTCCTGGATTCTCAGTGTGCTTTGCATCTCTTTCCCTGCTGCTTGATGTCATGCAATCTCTATTCCTCAAGACTACATATCCCATAATGAAGGGCTTGACAAATTTGCTTTGAATCTAGCAGCCTGCTAAAAAAAAAAAAAAAAAAAAGGAGCCAGGA